ACCACCACCACCATCGCGCAGACATCGACGCATAGATTTGATAACCCTTGCAGAATGTCACCACTGGGAAGCGTTTGTTAAAGTTAATTAGAGTGATACAGAATTACAAATGGAATTTAATTGAGAAATTTATTAGAATAAAAAAGTTCAGTTTACCTTCTGACAGAGGCAGAAAGCGCTCGAAGCTTATCTTTATGGTGTACTAACTTTTTGTGGAGGTTATACGACAATGACTTTTTAATTATAGAGTCTCCTTACGGCAGTTCGACAAGAGGCCAGTCGTCAGCATACGGGTTGGTCATTGGAATTTGTAACACTCAACACAGAAGTTACTAAGTATGCTTTTGACGAATTACACGACTCTGCGAAGGAGGGCATCTTCATACACGGTCTCTTCATTCAGGCGGGTTCCTGGGACCGCCGTTTGGGCCGTATCGTTGAGGCGAAACCGAAACAACTCTTTGATATAATGCCTGTAATAAACGTCACCGCCCAATGTTTCCTCTCACAGGAGGAGATAAATCGTCAACAGGCTGAAAAGCCGAAGGCTACGCCGTCGAGCGCCAAGGGAGACGCCGCAACAAGCGGCAACAACCAGAATAATAATTCTGCTGTGATAAGCGAACAAACAAATATGTCGGCCGCAGTCGACCCGCAAAGAACCAGTGGATATTCTGGTCCAGGTGGTGGTGCTGTAGCAGCAAAGTTGACGGTGCCTGTCTATAAGAAGGTTAAACGAACGGGACAGCACTTCATCACTAAATTCACTATCCCCTGCTCCAAGTCAGCGGACCATTGGATTATGCGCGGTGTGGCCTTGCTGTGCGATACTAACTGATTTGTTCTCTAGCACTCCCTTTGGTCTTTGCTGGATCTTCGCAAAGGCTCCTCGTTTAGTTAGTTGTAAATCATCATTATGGGGTCACCCTGATATCATTTTCAGTAATCCTCTGTGGAGAATGATGTTCGAATTTTCACCAATTTATTACAATTTTTCAGATCACTGTTTGTTGTATCTGTAAGGGTTTTCCACCTTCGCAATCTTCGATTTTGATTTTTGGCCTTAAGGGCTGCTGTCCTTGTCTCAGGGACTAGTGCGTGAGGTCTAAGGTTGAGGGGGCTGTACCTAGGACCCCGGAATGGGTCATGGTCTAACCGTCCTTTGTATATGTCAATTATGGTGTAGATGTAAACCTTACGAACGAATTCGGTTCGGAGAGATCAAGGAAAATCTTTCGCACGCGGCTGTTGACGATTAGCAGGATAGAACATATGAACTATCAGCGGAGGCAGATGTGAAACTGATTTGAGGTCTACTTGATGATGCGACGTGTGACTTGAACACCGAGTCCTACATCCAGGAACTGGGAAGGTTGTCTTTTGATCGTCTGTCTTTAGAAGGTATTGCCTCGAAAAATTCTCCTGACGGAATAAAAAAGGGTGGAGACATTCATTTTGCTCTCAGTGGGGGTGTAGCGGGACGGTGAGTAAATAGGACTAAATGAAACGATGTAAGTAGTAGCTGCGTAGTGACGCAACTCCGCTTACGACGCTAATCTTCTTGC